CTCTCCTCCCTCCTCCTCTCTCTCTCTCTCTCTCTCTCTCTCTCTCTCTCTCCTCCTCACACGCACAAATTTCTCGCTCCTCTGTCTCCTCTAGTTCACTCTCCGACTCTTTGGGCGCGTCCACGTGCACACGGAACGCTTCGCCGATGTGAGTCACTATTTTCTTGTCTCTTCTTTTTTATTTTTTATTCTTGTCTCGCCAACCGACCAACTTCTACATTTATGTGATCTTTTGACGATTTATTTTATTTTATTTGCGATTTTATTTTTCTATTAACTTTTATTTTCCTGTAAATATCAATCTCGTGAGAAATCTCGTAGCTGAGAAGAGAGAAAGAGAGAAAATTTTTCACCGTACTCTCTGTCATATGAAATTAGAAGTTAGTGCTCCTTTAAAAGGAAATGGTTGGAATCGCGGATGTGCGCCTAGAAAAGTGCGAAATGTATTCGCACGGGAATCCCGTAATGCGTTTCTTCCTGGAACTAACTCCACGACCGGAAGGTTTCTATTTGAGTCATTGAATTCGCGCGAAATCGGACACTGCCACGTTTTCGGGAAAACGTTTCACTGTTTGACGTCTCGTGTGACTAATGCGCGGTTTCACCAGCAACGGATGGGAATCACTTGCGTATAATAATAAATTCATTTCCTGGTGGACGATAAGAGAGATAGGAAGCAGATGTGTTTACATTTCGTAGCCAGCGATTTTATTATGAATTGGAATCGAAGGGAGAAGTCATGCGGGCACGTTCTTCGATTGGCGAATAAATTTTACAAATGCGGGGCTCAAAAATTTAAAAGCTCGGCACATAACTCGACAATCGTTCCAAGTCCTCGTTGTAAAGAAAAAAGATATTTCGTTAATACCTGATTTTATTACTGATGAATACAAGACACGTAGAATGAAAAGCAAAGTAAAAAAAGTTAAAAAGTGAAATAGTGAATTAAAAATATCTATTAATAGGTGCATGTTTTATCGTCTTTTTAGCTCTTTCCTTTTTCTTTCTTAAGTGCGGATTTTTTAAAAGTTCGCCGCTCGTAGTCTCATCGCGGGAAGTAGAAAATTACGCCTGGGTAGCACAAAATACGCATATTGGTGTACAACAGAAATGACAATTCTTAATTCAGATTATAATTACCGCGGCCGGCGTTATTGCGGCGGCAGAGAAATTCCCGACCGGTTATTACTTTTCGGAACACGGCAACGGCGATGGCGGTCGTAACAATACGGTATCACTGCTGTTAAGATAACCGAGGACGACGCGGTTCCCACGTACCGCCGTCGTATATCGTCGTTGCTTGAAACTCGCCCGTGTTGTATAACTGCAGGGGTACAGATCCTTTAACCAGCATTTTGCGCCCGGCGAATGCTGCCGGACCTTCGTAGACCTGCCGCGATCCTTTATATTTGTTATTTATTGCGACCACTACCTATGGAGAACACAAACGAACGATTAACTTTCAACACCCGTGCGGATTCCAGCATGTTTTCCATGTTCAGTTATCTAAGCAAAATAATTTTTTTTTAATTACGGAATCCATGTAATTTTTAGAAGGTTCATTTCATGTGCGTGAAATAATCTTTCATAATCTTTAAAAATAATAATAATATAATCATTTATAATGTTTTAAAAAAATTAATTCTCGTCGTATTTTTTTTTTTTTTTTTTTTGGTAAGTGTAATAATTCATATAGGACACACTTTATTGTGCTAAATTCGTAAAATTAATATATTCGATACTATATCGATCATGAAACGCGAGAAAATGATGAAATCGATAATTTGTCGGCATGATCCATTGCTGTATCGCGCCTCGAAGATAGCAACGACTATAGGAGATATAGGCGGACCATGACTATCGTGTTTATACAGCGCGTATGCTCCGTCTCTCTCTTTCCCACGTAATCAGTTCTCGGATCGGTCAATCAATGGAGTCCTAGGGATCGTGGACCGGCACCGACGAAACATCGGGACACATATCTAGCTCGCGATATAGCTGTGTGTGACGCGAAGCAGCGTGGGAACTCCTTCGGGGCACACGCAGCGGTGCTCATTCCGGCCGTTCGCGCCGGAAATTCGCATGGCTCCCTCGCTTTAATCCCTCAGTGCGCGAACGTCGAAGTTCGCACATTAATTTCGCGATTTTCTCCACGCGCGCGAAGTCGAGCGGAGATTAATTAGGGGCAGAACGATGATAAAATAACGTCTCGTTCCCGCGGTGAGAGATATCTCGGTCTCGCCGCGGAAATTGGTAAATTACCTCGCTCTGAATAAATCAACTTTCGGACAAGTGCTACGCTTACGCGTGAAGAGAATTGCAAAATTTACGGAGTATATATTTCCTTTGCGCTATTCACGTTTAATTCACTTGACAATCCGACGAATACTTCGAGCTCAGAAAAATCTCTCGTCGATTGCCGTAACGCGGCAATTGTCCGCTCTTTTCGTCAACCGTCGTAACTTCCCTGTTAAAGATTAAAAAGAAAAAAAAAGAACAGATACGTTCATTGTACGCCGGTCCCCCCATCGGGTCAGGAAGGGTTAAGGCTACGCGCGCTACCTTGAATGAGAATATAGTATTGGGGTCCTTAACGCGGCTCGGTAGGAAATTGCGGCGGGAATGATGGGTCAATGTTTCGTGGAATGCGGGGAAATAATGGAGGTCAAGCTTCCTCGGGCCTGTGCTCGCCGCCGACGAGATGAGAGGTGGCGATGGTTAGCCGGAGAGGCCGGACGTCGTAGGTATATCTTCTTCGTCTCTCCTCGCCTCTCTCTTCCTCTCTCGTAAGCGCGCGCGCTTTATTTGGCGAGTTTTTGCCGTGTTTTACGAGCGGCTTAGCGGCGCTTTTTATAGCCGGCTCGCTTCACAATGCGCCATCACAGTGGGTTTTTACAGACGTCCTGTAGTATCTA